TTCTCGGCCACCCTCACTGCAGAGACTGCATGGGGTGCCATGCGAGGCTTGGAGACATTCTCCCAACTCGCATGGGGTAATCCCACGCAGATTGCAGTGGGGGTGCACGTGTGGGATTCTCCCCACTACCCCCACCGTGGTATCGTGGTGGACACAGCAAGGAACTATTACCCTGTGAAGGATTTGCTGAGGACAGTGGAAGCCATGAGCATGAACAAGCTCAACGTGTTCCACTGGCACATCACTGACGCAGAATCTTTCCCTTTGATATTGCCTTCTGAACCTGCCTTGGCTGAAAAGGGGGCTTATGCCTCTCACATGGTGTATTCACCCGAGGATGTTAAAAGAGTTGTGGAATTTGGACTTGATCATGGGGTTCGTGTAATTCCCGAGATTGATACACCTGGTTAGTTCAATTTCTCTTACTCTTGACTTTCTAGCTGAAAAAGTTGAATTAGAAAATTTTCTAACTTGAAGAAGGTGCTGAATTGATTAATTGACTGAGTACTATGCGGTTCCTCTCTGTATGTCTCTCATTTCAAGGAATTAAAAAATAGCTTGTGTGGTAGTTCGCAAAACTTGAATTAGAAAACATTCTAACTTGAAGAATGTGCTGAATTGATTAATTGCCTGATTATTGTGTTTCCTTAAGTCCAAGACCACCATGATCTCATCAATCTTCATGTGTGTTATATAATTGAGTGTTATTAATATTAACTTGTTAGTTGAAAATTAAGGTTGTATGCTGCATGAAGATTAGTAGGGACTGTGGACATGTAGTGGTCCAAGACTATGTAATAATTCCTCTTTCCTTTCAGCATGTTTGCCATTTCAAGAAATTAAACAAGCTGTGTGTAAATAGCAGTAATTGGTTGAGTAATTAATTAATTTGTAATTTTCATGCTGCCTCGTATTCCTAGAGATTGTGGTGTCAAATTTTAGCATCGACAAAGGTCATATTCAATTCTTGAGACAAACAAAAGGTTTGAACATGAGAGGATCCATTCCACTTCTTTCATTTTCATTTATTCATCGACTTCTTTTCATCAAAACCATGTTCCATTATTTCAAGACTGACTTTTTGGCTTTATAGAGTTTCTTTGTTAAATATGCGTTTAAGTATGTATTTTCCTTGCCAGAATGTTAGAAATTAATGGTTGAGAGACATAGACTTAAACCATATATAATGATATATGTTTTACCTCAAAACCTTGTCAGTATTTGATAACAAAACTTTAAGCTTCTCATTCAAGATCATACACTTCCTTAGTAGACAAATGTCAAAAAGTTAAGGAAACTCAAATTCTTCATTTGCCCAACAATGCAACTTTGGTTACTAATGTGTCTGAATTGTTATCGTAAAGATTAGATCTCTAATACAAAAAAGAATGGAATCCTACCATTGTGCTGAATGAAGTGAACCACTGTACTGAGTTTATGTCTGAATTGGGATCCTACTATAGTGATTATTGCCATATCGGGTTACATAGAACACGCCTTCATCTGGTGTGAACCTTACTCTGAGCTTACCAAGAGAATGTTATTTTTCTAGCAAGTTTTGATGATTAAATTGAAGTCTACATTGTTTGCAGATCACTAGGTACCATTAGAATGTCAAATTCTTTGAAGTTAGAACCTCACGTAAAGGAGCCGCAGACTAAATATTGTAACCATAAGGCCAATTAACAAATCAACTAGGCTTATGTATGATATCCAAGTTTAAAACATTTATTTTTCTGTGATATTATGATCATGTCTGAAAAGAAGTTAAAAGTGCTTTTAGAGAGTTTCTCTAGTGAAAATAAAGAGAATTTTTCAATAAAAAAGATTTTCAAAACACTTCTAAACTTATCCAAACAGACTTAATATTTTGATTGAAAACCGTATCTTTCTTTTCCTCTTCCACATAATTTAGCTAGTATTTCTGAGAATTATGATAATCAACCACTGATTGAAATGAACTACATATGTGCAGCTCACACAGGATCTTGGGCATTAGCCTACCCTGACATTGTAACTTGTGCCAACATGTTCTGGTGGCCAGCTGATAGTGATTGGCCTGATAGAGTTGCTTCACAACCAGGATCAGGACACTTGAACCCCTTAAACCCCAAGACATACCAAGTCCTAAACAATGTCATACACGATATAACCACATTGTTCCCAGAACAATTCTACCACTCAGGTGCTGATGAGGTTATACCAGGTTGCTGGAAAACCGATCCCACAATTCAGAAGTATCTATCAAACGGTGGAACCCTCAACCAAGTCCTTGAGAAGTTCATCAACAACACTCTCCCTCTCATTGTGTCCCTCAACCGCACCGCTGTGTATTGGGAAGATGTCTTGCTAGATGACACAGTCCATGTTCCATCCACAATGCTCCCCAAGGAGCATGTGATTCTGCAGACATGGAACAATGGACACAGCAACACCAAGAAGATAGTTTCTTCCGGGTACAGAGCCATTGTGTCATCAGCAGAATTCTACTACCTGGATTGTGGACATGGCACCTATGTTGGGAACAACAGTGCCTATGACAACCAAAATGGGGATGACACAGGCAACGGTGGCTCTTGGTGTGCACCCTTTAAGACATGGCAGACCATATACAACTATGATATAGCATATGGGTTGAGTGAGGAGGAAGCAAAGTTGGTTTTGGGTGGGGAGGTAGCACTGTGGTCAGAACAAGCTGATTCAACTGTTTTGGATGCAAGGATTTGGCCTAGAAGTTGTGCATTGGCTGAGGCACTGTGGTCAGGGAATAGGGATGAGAAGGGTAGGAAGAGATATGCTGAGGCCACTGATAGGTTGAATGAATGGAGAAGCAGAATGGTAAGCAGAGGAATAGGGGCTGAGCCTATTCAGCCACTTTGGTGTGTTAAGAACCCTGGCATGTGTAACACTGTTCATCCTGTCTAGTTGCATTCTTACTATGTAAAACAAAAATAAGGATAAATTAAAAAAAAAAAGCTTAAATATATTTTTAGTTACTATAAAATTGATGATTTTGATTTTAATCCCTCTAAAATTTATAAACATTATCATTATCCTTGTAAAATAAGTAAATTTTAATTTTAATTTTTATAAAATATTTTTCTTTGATTTTCATCCTTCTAAAATCTAAATGAGTTATTTTTAACCTCTAACAATCATTTTAAGTTGGATAAATGAAATTATTTTAAAGATTTATAATTTTTTTAAAGATGTTAAATATCGATATAATATCAGTAATGGTTATAGATAACACTTAAGTAAAAAGTAGTTAAAAATGATTATATGAAAATTGGGACTAAAAATAATAATTTTAATTTTATAGGGATGAAAAAATAAAGAATTTTTTTTTACAAGAATTAAAATTAAAATTTACTAATTTTATAAAAATTAAAAATATATTTAAACCTAAAAAAATAATAACTTAATTACACTTATCTACGGTGGTAGAGAAATTTTGATACCCTTTATTTTAATATTTTAATTGCTTGATTCTAGTCTATATATTTGATAATGTGCAATTTTAATTCACCTTTAAATTACCATTCAAATTTTAGTAGAAATTATGATGTGGCAAATTTATGCCACATGAGCGTTATTTATTTTGATTTTATTTTTTACAAGTTAAATTGTTAAACATTACGAAAAGAAGAAAATATATATATATAGAAGACAAAATGTCACTTATTTCTAATAAAATTGCTGTTAGAATTCAACAATTGTTTTGGATCTTAGATTTTGCTAACTATGGAGTGGAGTTAGGAAAACGTAACAATTTCAAAAAAAAAAAAAAAAACAGTTTGATGGTGTTGGGCATTTATCTGATACAATATTATTGTTACTTTTATATCTTCATCCATTTAACGGTCACTCGGTCAGTGACATTTTGTCTTCTAAAGATATTTGAATATTAAATGATTTCACGTGTAATAAAATAAAATATATCCCCTAAAAAAATAATATTTATGTGGTATAAATTTGTCATTTCATGGTTCGTGTTAAAAGTTGGATGGCTATTTAGCTGGGAGACAAAATATATCTCACGAGTCTTGACGAATATGTTTCGGTTTGTGACTCAATTATATTTAATTATTTAAAATTAATTTTATTATCACTAATTGTACGAATCAATTAATAGTCTCATATTCGAGTTTTAAAATATAATTATGTTAAATATTTAGGATGAAAGTTTTGCCTCCCACCTCAACCTCCTTTTCGATTTCTTAGAATATTTTTTTAATAAAAATAATATTTATAAGTTAAATCAGTAACATGATATAAGATCATTATCTTTTATATTTTTTATTCAATGTATTTTTTTAAAATTACCAAAATTCAAAAAATATCTACATTTTACTAATGTATATTAAAAGATATTTTTCATGTGTTGCAATATTTTTTGTCTCTATATGCTTCAGAAAATCTCTTTTTCGAAAAATGAGTTCATTCAACAAATAATTCCCTCTTTGGTTTTGTTAGATGATAACCTCATGTTGTCCAATGTCCCCATGTTGGTAGAGGTGAAAGATGCGGTGTTTGCCATGAATCATCTAGTGCGCCTAGGCTAGATGGTTTTGGCGGAAGATTCTATCATGTTTTTTGGGATATCACAGTAGTGGATGTTCATAAGTCAATATTGTAGTTTTTTAAGCAAAACTGGGTTCTGCTCGGTCTTAATTCTAATAGAGTAACTTTCATCTTGAAGTTCCCTTATGTCGATAAGGTGGAAGATTTTCGACCTATTGCTATTGCTAATTTTCAATTCAAGCTAATTAGTAAGGTAAAATTAGGGATCTCCACAAAATTATTTAAAACTAAACTTTTTAAATAACTAAACTAAAATAAACTAAATTATTTTTTAATAGTTTAAACCAAACTATTATTTTTAGTGTAGTTTATAAAGCTAAACTATTAAAATTAATAATTCAGTTCACTAAAACTAAATTCAAGCACTGAATCCAAACACATTAATTTCACATACAATACAACCAGTAACCACAAGTTTCTCTACTGTTAAAAGGCTCAATGAAGGTTTAACTGTATTTGTTTAGTTGATGAGAAGCTCTTGAAGTATCACAACTATCCCTCCCTCAAATCATTAATACACTCTCTAGACCCAACAAAATAACTTAAACTCCCCAACACCTCCCCCCTTTATACTACTGCACTAACTCAATCTGGTTAGACAAAGTTGCTTAGTAGAAAGACCTGATTCTTAATATATTGTGATTTAAACTTTCACAAATTTAATCAAAGTTAAACACAGCATCAAGTTCTACAAAGCAATCTAGGATGACCATAAGCAACGTTGGCCTTATCTATACCCTCAATTTTCCATCAACCATTAGCTGCAACATATTCCAGTGTAAATGTAACCTTGTCTAGTAGATACTGTCTCAACATTATACATATTCATCAGTGAGCAAAACAATTTCTTTCCCTGATGTTGCATTAGAGAAACCATCTGTCTACAACTATTGAGAATTGCTTCAAACATTTACAATTTCTAACACAACCCAAAAGGCAGAAATGAAAGAATAAGAATCTAGAGCACACAGGAAAGCTAATAGATACCCAACGGGGACGGGGATGAGGATGAAAACCACATACCCGACAGGTACGAGTACGGGAATGGGGATGAGTTTGACTCGCGGGGACGGGGACGGGTATCATGAAACCCGTACCTACCCCGCCCCGTTGCCTTCCCTACCTACATGTGAATTATATTGTATGGCTTAAATATGTTTGTTTTCTTTGTAATTTAACTTCTTTTATTTTTCGTTACTAAGATTTTTTTTTTTTAATTATCCTTATAAGTTTCAAATGTTTCATGTTTAATATTTGTCGTCAAATTTTGTTTAACATATATTAATGAGTTGATGTCACGATGAAATTTTTAAATCAAATATATATACATTTATAACATTTACCTAAAATCATGTTAATCAATTGATATTTCAAGAATTTTTTACCAAAATAATATTTTTTTAAAAAAAATATCTAAATGGACCTCCCCTTTATTTACAGAACTAGACCTATTTATTGTGCAGCTCAGAATCCGATCCTCGAGGAGCCAAATTCTAAGTTACCTTTCTTCCATCTCCGATGAGTAACCCTATCGGAATTCGGCCCCTAGGGAATCGAATTCCGAGCAGGGATTTTTTTTTCAATTTTAATGTTTCTAAAATTATAATATATATTTTTTAATTTAAAAAATAAAATAAAATATGTATATAAAATTAAAAAATAATAATAAATAATATTATGTTTATATATTTATTTAAATTTGTAAATTTTGCTAATAACTTATAGTATTTATTTAAATATGTAAATTTTTGTTAATAACTTATAATATTTATTTAAATATATAATTTTTGTTAATAATAATATTAATATGATAAATTAATTATGAACACAAATTTACATATTAAATAAAATGAGTTATATTAAATATTAATGTATTAATAATAATAAAATTATCTAATTAAAAAAAGATAATTACTAACATTAATTTGGAAATGGTACACTGAAGAAAATAAGTTGTAGGCAACATTAATCTATGACGGCCATGAACAATGTTTGGACATGTTTTCCTTGTGTGACCAAGGGTGTGATAATAGGAACAATGTTTTACACGGCTTTGTTGTTCTTTAATGTCCATCTGTTCTTATTCTACTTGACTTGGGTCGACCCTTGGAAGTTCTTTTGAATTCTGGATTTGGGCAAAAAATTGGGCCAGTGTAAGTTGGCCAATAGTTCTCATGTCTAAGTTTTCCAAATTGTTCTTCATATACCTTATAGACTTATTATAAGGTATAGACGGGAGATATGTAGATGTTAAAGTTGTGGTGTACGTGTAAGTATAAAGCAATTACATGCGAGCATAGGATGTGAACTTTTTGGAACTCGCCACAGTCACACCACATCTCATCTAACCTTACTATAAATCTTCCTACTGGTCGAACTTGTCCTGGATGTTGTGTCTCTTCCACTAAAAATCTTGTTCTTGTTCTGTCAAAGGTGATCCCTCTATGAGTGTTTTCCTTTGATTGTGCATCTTGAATTGTTTTTTATGCAACTTCAGAATAGACATGTCCAGCATTAATCATGACATCTACCTCCTTGCCTCTCTCGACGAAGAATTTGTTGCAACGAATGTATGTTGCCATGACCATGGAGTGAATTAGGAGTTTTCTTGTTTTCTTTAAAATCGAATTAATTAACTCCGCTAGGTTTGTTACCATGTGTCCCCAACGTCATCTATTGTCCCATGTAAGCGTCCATTTTTTCCTTGGGATGTTGTCCAACCACTATGCTGCTTCTAGATTATAATCTCTTACTATGTTGTAATAGTAAAAGAATCTAGGCTTAGTCATCCCATATGTTGAAAAAAAGTTTATAAATTAAATTAATATAACCAGCTAACCAAATGTAGAGAGTAATAATAACCAAAGAAAGTAATAAAATTACCCATATTGACGATATTTTTCTTCAATGTAGTGTTTTTGAATCGTCGCATGAAGTTTTGTACAATATGTCTAATGTAATAACATGGGAAAAATTGTTTTCTGTCCAACCACTTTCATTTCTGGAGTATGCACTTCTGATAGCCTCATGATGATCCAAAATGAGGCACAACCCCTCTCTTGGTGTTACATACTGTCAGAACCCAAAAAATTTCGATCTTACCCACATATGGTTTGGACTTCCATTTTGAAAATCTCATCAGTTAGGGAATTCCCAAAGACCAAACTAATCCTTAACTAACGTTTTCTTGAAAAAGGTTCAAAGGAGTTGCCACCGATGTTTTACTCAAAAATCGAAAAAATAAAAGGTTTTCAAAATTGCAATAATGGCCTTCATAATCAGAATTGGGTTCGAGGGTTGGTTACGTGTAAGGAAGGTGTTAGGCACCCTACAATGCCCCAATTCGGTACCTTAC